AGCTCAAATAAAATAGATCTGATGTTAAAAAAAAGAAGAGAAAATACAGTGAATAGGATGCTTAAAAATCCCTACCACACGTTTTACATGCATCTATCTGCAGAACCCATAAGCTACAAATTCATCATTTGGTTACCGTATGCCCATGAGCGTAGACCATGTGCCAGCCATGATTTATGACTACATGGTCTCTGAGAGCTTAAAGTTGTCTGACTAGCGATTTAAAAATAAAGCAGGAACTTTATTTTGCCTTTTTTTTGGTGAAACATAATGTTTTCATTTTGCTGTATAAGAAATCACATTATCAGATTAATCTCATAATATCAGACATTGTATCAGACTAAACCAGAATACCAGATGAAATGCAGAGAAAACTTAAAATGTCTTCCAGTTCAGGACTTTCCTAACATTGTTGTTAATATTATTTTTATAAATACGTAACTTACATGATGCTCTGAACCAGATTATATCATATTTCTTATTTATTTGTTTATTTATTTATTCATTTATGTATTTATGTAGCATATAGTTTACAAGTGAAATGTGATCTGTAATTTTATAGTGCCTTTTATGGATCATGAAGTTGTAACTTTGAATTTGCATATGCAATTTTAAATGTTTAATTTGTTTTCCTGGATCAATAGCCTGACCAGGGACTGCATCCCTGCATGACTGCATTCTGCTGGAAGCTCTGCAATGCTGCATCAGTGGCCTATTAGCAACAATGTCTTAGAAGTCCCTGAAATGAAATAAGCTAAATCATACCTGTGGTTCATTGACAGTTTACCAAAATAAATATTGAAATACAAAGCGTAATCCTCCTGACACCTTAGGTTTTTACATCAGTATTCCTCCAAAGCATTAAATTCTCCTGAAGTGATCAATTAAAGCAAGTCCACAAGTTTCAGAGTGGGCAATAGCGTCATGCAGATTGTTTGGGGGTATTGCTCCAGTTTTATGTAGGCAGTGGTGGCCTAGTGGGTACGGCATAGAGGAATCCTAGAATCCTGATGTTCTGAGTTCGAGCCCCACTCCCACAGACTGCCACTCTGGCTCCTTAACCCACACTGCTTTCCGGGGGCCGTACAATGGCAGCCCACTGCTCCTCAAGGGGATGGGTAAAAATGCAGAGAGTTAATTTCGTAGCTCTGTACTTGTAACAGTGGAACGACAATATAAGCTGGAAAAAAAGAAGAAAAAGTTTTGCGACGATAGAGATGAAAACAAGAGCATAACGGAGGAATTCTTGGTTCTCAATTTGTAAGTATCACAATGGAGCAACACAACTTTCTGCCATTAGCCTACTTGGGTCTGTAGTTCTACTAAGATGTTCAAGTCTCTGTACTACCCAAAGACAACTATGTTGTGTTTATATCAACCTCCTACTTGGATTCTACTCATCTTCTAAAATGTATCCAAAATAAAAAAAACCTCTGTCCCTGCTTTCAATATCCTGGGACAAGGATATTATATACCCTTAACCCCAAGAAGACCTTTCAATGACGTAATGAATGTAACAACTGTGTTTGAGGTATAGCCTTAAAATGCTTCCACAAGAATGACACTATTTGGAGTTTTCTAAACTCACAAGGACACAAGTACAGACTCATGTGCTAAATAGGTTCTTGAGACGAACACAGGAAAGTGTGGACACTGGGAGAGCGGGAGCATGCAGCATAAATATGGGTCGATTGGAACAGAAGCGTACTTGTGACGTCACTACACTCTCGGCTATTCTAGAGCTGTATTTCACCTCCTGTTATTAATAGTCTCTAGATAATAATAAAACTTCTTTCATTTAGGGGGGGAGTAATAATTAACACATTCAGATAAACACAAATAAAATTAATAATACAAAAAACTCGCCATCAGAGCCAGAGTTCCTTCACAGACGGCTATGCAGAGAGTGGGCTATGTGTGGGCTTGTGACGCGGTCCTCATAACATTGGAATTTTTTTTTTTTACTTGACTAAATCAGTAAATGGATATATATATATATATATATATATATATATATATATATATATATATATATATATATATATATATATATATATATATATATATATATATATATATATATATATATATATATATAAAAATAGTTCCTGATGGAATGATCCTCTTAATAAGAAAGAAACCTCAGTTTGAATAAGATGGCTGCTTGTCAATTAATTTTAGATTAATCAATGAATTCCCATCCCTAATACCAACTTCTTCATTTTAATAAGGTTTTGACTTATTGTCTAAAAAGTATTTTCATTTTCTGGCATTTATCAAAAATAAATATTTGATGGACTTCACCTTCGCCTAAAACAACACAGGTGTAGCGATCATTAGCCTCAGGCAGATACACGAAGGTTTCGTTTTTCTACATAGCGAATAAAAAGAAGCCGTTTCATCTTCATGTGAATGGGTTCTCCAGTTTTCCATAATTCCGATATACCACTGGTGCATCTTCATGTTAAGCTTCCAGTTTTCTCTCACTTGTTCTCAACACAAAACTTCACAAAAACAACGCCATATGAGCAGCCAGAGCCATGAGTAAGGAAAGAAATCTCATAAAAACGGGTCACATGGAAGTCCTGAGGTTAGATTTTGGAAGATGTTGTTCTGGGACTTAATTAGTAAAAGGTCCTAAATTTGAAGGGGTTGAGTGCCCATGAGCTCTCGTCTTAAATCTAGGGCAGCAAGACACACATACACACACACACACAAAGAAGTACATTGAGCGTAGTACTAACAGCAATGAATAAATAAACTAACACAGATGGAATATAGGGGAAAAAATAACAACAAAAACACTGATCTTGATTTAAAGGTCTATAAGCTCTGTAGAAGGTTTAACTGATGATGACTATCCTCTGCCTTTTTTGTTGAAAGGTTGACATTTTTTATAACAGCGTTTAGCTTTGGACATTCATTTTACAGTGAATAAAAACTCAGTGGTTTTCTAAACCAATTGTGCTTGAATTAAAGCCACGTCCACACGAAGTCAAACCCTGTCCTAAACGCACAAATTTTTCACCAAACCAGCCTCTCATCCACACGAAGCCGGCGTTTCGGGGGTCTGTAAACGATCTTTTTTTATTCAGCCTTCAGAGTGGGAAGATTTTGAAACGCCGTTTTCGCGTTTCCATCTTTAAGCCCTAACCTCATTTTTTTTTTACACGCATGCGTCATAGCGTCGCCTCTAAACACGCATGCGCGACACAGTATCACAACAACAATGGCACCGTACTGTGTTGAATGGTTGCTGCTCATGCTACTCACCCTGCTGTCGGGCTTACAACAGAATCTTCTTCTTCTGGAATATCTCCAGGAAGAACAGAGCAATATCGACCACATAGTTCAGCACCTGAATTTGACTGAACCACGAAGATGGACCCGCAGGGCAACCATGTATAAATATTACTGCGCATGCCCGACATTTCATTGCCTGTTTTCGCCTATTTTTGCTTTGGCACCACAGCGCCACTTACAGGCCTGGCATACATTTTGCAGCGTTTTCATGCATTCGTGTGGACGATCACATTTATTATACGTCTCCGTTTTTACGACAAACGTTCTGGAAAATATTGGCGTTTCGTGTTCGTTTTGACTTCGTGTGGACGGGGCCTAAGTAAAATATGTACCCTACATTATTAAAGAATGACCAAGTATCTGGGGTGTATCGGTAAATTAATCAAATATGTGAAACAAGCCATTTGTCTTAATTGTTATAAACACTTTCATTTTGCCCCAGTAGATGATCCAAAAAGAAATAAATAAAGGCTCCAAAAATACTCAAGGCTCAACATATTTCCTTTTATGGCAGAATTTGCACACAAGTGAATAAACAACTATACAACAGTGGGGAAAAAAATATCCAAACCAATATGTAAAAATATTACTTTTTAGGTTTTTTACAGGTAAAAGGTTAAGATTAAACACTATCCTACCATCAATTGAACATCTTTTTAGTGTTTTCATTTAAATTAAACAGCCAGAGAGAGGAACTAAGCATGTTTGTGTTAGCATTAAACAACTTCAGTTTAAAAAATGGCAAAGTAGGTTTTATAAAGTATAATTAGCTTTGGACTGTTACAGTACATTCATATGAGTCTAACCTATTATTCTGATCCAGCCACACTCATTAATGTACTAAAAACTTCTCTAGCTGTTAGCTAGAGAGTTAATATTTTTAATTGAAGGGGAGATGCCTGTATACATGAATTTACTGAACTTAATTTTTTCATTTTTTGTTGTGGTTGGTGTTTTTTTCTCGTTTCTTGCAGGTGTGGAAGCAGACTTCAAGCAGTTGTTCTGTATTATTGATGTTGTTTTATTTTTCTCCTTTATTCTGTCTTTCTCTCGCCTTAATTCTTATCCCCTCTACTCCCCCCCCCTCTCTGCCTGTGTCCACTGCATATAATTTCCATCCCAAAAAGCCACTTGTTATAAACCTTCATACATAATTACCAAGTGGAATCATATGGCAACATTCATGATGGTCAACTTGTGAAAGCAAATCTTTTTTGCCATTATGCAGCACTGGGGTATCAATTCTCAGTGTTATGTTGGCAAATGGGACATGTAAAAAAAAAAAATAAAAGTAAAAACTTCTATACAATGTCCATAATTCTGTCATATTGCCATGATTTTTTTCTATTGGATAAGAGTTATTGTTGCTTTTCAGTTTAAAATCAATTAGACAGTGCCACTCAGTTCAAACTCTGTGTAAATGTTGTGATTCTGTGAGCGTGTGGTATTTTTGTCCGGGCCCAGAGTTAAAACACAGTCTTCTAGCTAACCTTGACATTAGCAAATGTATGACTCACTCTGACCACACAGGGAATTAACAGTTAGGGCAGGTAATGAGACAGGAAAATGGATAATTGTCGGTTGGCTAATTCGCCACAACAGCATCCAGCCACCCGAAAATTGTGGCAAAGACAAACATGTGGAATAACCGTCCGAACCCCAATGTAGCAGAGGTTTTAAATTGCGCAATCACTTACTTGCAGTGCTTGTGGGGGCCACTGAGTGTCTCGATGACAAAGCATTCACCACCATTGAGGCAGTAGGCCAAATCCTTCTCATGGCAGGGTTTGAAATGCTCTGAGTGAAGGGGAGGCACCGTTGGGGATGCTGCAACAACAAACAGAGTGAATGGCATCAGTTACAATCAGCCCCAAAGCAGTGAAAGATAGATAGTTAGAATAAATATAAAAACCATCAAAAAAATTCAAGAAAAACTCTTTTTTTTTTTCTACACTCCCCTTGAGAGTACATAAAAGTAATCCTCATAAAACACCAAACACTTCTGATAAGAGCTACTAACATGGGATTGTTTGTTTAGATCCTTTAACATCACCATCAAAAGACGGATGGAGGACGATTAATAGTCTGTCCTGCTGTGATTAATACCCTGTGCACTGCAAAAAATAGAAATCTCAATAAGTTATTTTTTCTTAAAATAAGTGCGTTTTTCCTTGATTTGAGGAGGTAAGTAAGACACTTTGCCAATGGAACAAGACAATTTCCTTTTAAAATAAGAAAAAACTATTTTATCGTCTTATTTCAAGTAAATATTATCTAACTATCTTATTTTAAGAGTGAAAATACTCATTCCATTGGCAGATCATCTTATTAACCTGCTCAAATTAGGGCTAAATATACTTAATTTAAGCCATTTTTTACTTATTTCTGGATTGTTTTTGCAGTGTGGTCACAGTAGCATTTTTGACTTGCCTTTTTGCTGTGATTTATCACAACATGCATGGGTGATAGCACAGGATTCTGAAAGCAACAGCACATTAATGAACGGTCTGATCATTGAAATGAATAAATAATGGACTAGTTGTATAGGAGAGAAGCAGCAGAGCACCAGAAATGTCTGTTCATTTACCACCATTTAAGGCATTTTAATGCTAGTTGAGGATATTATAAGTTTGGAAAAACAGGAAAAGAAGCTCAAGCAACTATGAATCTGCAAATCTGGATATTCAGTTGGTCAAGCGAATAACATGAGCTGCAATCTGATCTACACCACAGATGATGTTGTAATTAATCCTAGGCCAGACTGCTGAGTGTTTCCTTTGTGCTTCCGGATGAAAAACGAGTCTGCTAAGGGTTCTCATTAGCCAAATCCCAGCCTTGTTTTTTTTTTTTTTTTGCTTTCTCTTTCAAAATAGCTTGACGGGCAGTTATGATCCAGAATGTTACGCTTCAGTGATTAAAATCAGGATGCAGTTACTTCCACCAGTGTAGTGATTACAGCATGAGGTCGTTCTTTAATGGTGTGTGGAAGATACATCAGGAGGAGCTGCAGCGCTTGCAATCAGGAGACGAATAGAATTATAAGCGGTGTTCGGTGGCGGGTGGGGAATGATTCGAGGGAGAGAGTTATTTCAGGATAGGATTCAGTTCCCTTAATAAGCACTGTGAGGAATGCTTATGGTCTGTTAGTGGCTCGTGAGGCACAGGGTGCTTGCTGGGAATGTTCCACAACAGTTTTGTAATTGGCTAGAGATGAAATGGATCTAAGGTAAAAGTCTTGCAGGGGAGAGAGACTAGCAAACTGAATACTGACTAGTTTCATTAGGTGGAAGTATTAACAATTTACCGATTAACGGGTTCTATTAACCCTCTATCTCCATTTGGTTATCCAAATAACCATCTGACTAACAGGCTTTAAGCCTCTTAAGCCATCTTTAATCAAGCATCAGTTCTGTGAGAAATTACAACTGCATCATTTATTTTAGCCCATTTTAATATCAGGCAACATCATCAGAAATAATTCTAAATGTAGTTTTCACGAAAAACCAAAACCAGTTTATCGTCAATCTACACCAATCACCCTGTACCAACTGGAAAATGAACAAGAACAACATCGGTAATTTGCAAAAAAAAATCTTTACATAGTTTTGCATAAAACACATTCAATCTGCTGAACAGTTATCTTAAATTGCATAGTAGACTTCTAAATGCCTGCAGAGGCACAGAGCTTTGCTTTTTACACACAAAATGCAAAGATTCCGTCTTAAGATGAGAATTCATTCTGTATTTACCACCTTTAATTTTAGTTTATAGATGTGAACAACCAATTACAGCATTTTCTTGTAAGTTTGTAATTATTAGATCAATGGCAAAAATGTCAAATTAGTTAGTATATTCTATTTGAGGGTATCATTGCTGCCACCTGCTGACTCAGAGGGGTGTGGAGTTAGGAAGCGGAGACTCTGCAAGCGAATGTTCAAATTTATTTAACGTCTTCGGACAAAGTAATAGAGCTCTGACTGAGGCATTCCAGTACATACACATCCCCCCAGGGCAACAAACCCACCCCCTGGAAAGGAAACTTTCTCACACTTGAACATTTGATTATTCTCAAGAAAAAACACTTAAATTCATCAAAGGACATAAATTTTAGCCAGAGAAAAACTCAGAACAGGTCTACCGTTCACAGCATGACGGAGGCTGAGTGAACTCATTCTTGTTTCTCATGACCTTCCCTTCACCCTTGTCTAGAGTAGAAAGGCATCTGCTTTCTGCCCCCGTGCCTTAAACATTACAACATAGAGGCTGGTACAACATTTCTCAGGACTCACTCCTACTCAGGCAGGCAAAAACAAAACATTTTATCTCTCAAATAGGCCAAGAAAAAATATGCTTCCACAGGGGAACTACTAGATCCATGGCTAATAATAATACAACTTATTACCCTGATAGTTTACTTTATCTAAATGTCTCAGTTGCAATCAGGGATCATGCAACATTCTTCATGTCCTTCACTTCTTTATACATCTTCTCCCGCTTAGTCCTTGTCAGAGTCGGTGTCTATCTCTGGCAGGCTACGGGTGAGAGGTGGGGTACATACTGGACAGGTCGCCAGTCTGTTGCATGGCAACACAGAGACACACAACCAAGGACACACACCCTCACTTAAGGAACATTTAGATAAACCAATTAGCCTAATAGTTAATTTTTTTGGACTGTGGGAGGAAGCCATAGTATCAATGCATGCATGGAGGACATGCAATCTCCATGCAGAAACACTCCAGGACAGGAATCAAACACAAGAACTTTCTTGCTGCCAGGCAACATCTCTACCCACTGTTCTACCCTTGCAGTTTTTGGTAGTGTCCAGCAGTATTTAGCCTGTGCTAATCTTCACTAACAGACACAGCCCCTGGTGTGGTTTTCTCCTACTTTAGCCCTCTTCCTCAGTGTTGAATCTGCTGCGCTCTAAGATATGTCATGCTGCATCCAACACCCTGAATTTATTGAGTGGTTGTTTAAGCAAACATTTAACCTGCCTCTAATCCGGACTCTGACATTAGCTGCGGCTCTTGCTGGATATATTTTGAGAATCATTCTGTTTGAACTTTAGGGAACAGCAGTTTATATGTCTTTTTTCCCCCTATTCTGATGCTCACTCTGAACATCTGGAAGTCATGTCGCTCTGAGTCAGTGCCACGTGGCTGGCTGAGCTGCTGTCAGTGTTAACAAGCAATTCAACAAGTGCGCCTCATAAAGCAACAAGTGGGTGTATTTCTCAAGGGGATCTCATTAGAGACATACTTAGTCATTATGGGTTTTCCTTGATTGTCATGCTTTTTTGGGCTCATCATTTCAGCTAAGATCACTGCTTGTTTTCGAAACTTTCATGACTCATATTCACAAAATAATTTTTACACATCTGACTAACTTTATGCACCTGTGAGTTAATCTTTTTTTTTTAAACCATTGAAAAAACTTTTTATAATACTAAATCTATTGGCCTTTCAAGAAAGTAATATCTCAGTTAAGGTTCTGCTCATGCTTAAATGCGACAGGTAGTTGTAAGAGAATGCTGTTCCCGATTGCTGCAAAAAAAAAAAAAAACAGAAATTAATTTGAGCAATGCATATCTGGTTAGAAAATCCTCTACAAAGACTGATTGTAAAAATTTATGTATTTCAGATAATTATTCATTAATTTAAACACATTTTTTACATGTATAAATCAAACAAAATCATAATTATTAATTTATCATTGATTGGACGCAATCTGTGTTTTTTATAAATATGCCAAAATATATCAGGGCTTGACATTAACTTTTTTTGCTCACAAGCCAATGTTAGTAATTTTTTAAAAGTTACTAGCCACCTAGCTTTTTCAATAGCCACACTTTTGTTGTTGTGACAGCATTTGAAAATGATTAAAGCTGAGTATGATATCCTAAAATTTACTTGAACAGGATATACAACTTATTAAAATGTAAATAACCCTCGTACACACTCATATCAAGACTACATCAAATGTTTACAACTAAGGTCATTATAACATATTCAGCTCCAATCTGGTTCCATTTAAAAGTCCTTTTATAGGAAAATATGCAGAATAGAGAATTAGAAGATTAATTTAAAAGTTAAACTGGAATAAAGGTAATAAGAAACAGTTTCAATATTTATTTACATTAATAAATACTAAGAGTGCAAAAATGAAATATCTGCCTTAGATTCCCCCCTATGATGTTCTCCCCTTGGATCATACACCAAACATTCTCGCCCTGCTTTTTTCCACTTTTCGTTAAACAGCCTTTTCATTTCTGTTTTTCTCCCCTTTATTTTTTTATCGTCAGGTTTTTTTGTTTCTGCTCTCGAAGGTTTTTCGGCTCCTTGAATGTGTCGTGACATCACCTCCCCCACTACATCACCCTTGTGTTCCCCGCTGGACCGTCCGTCTAAAGTAAACCTGACAGAGATGGTCCAATGAGTGGAAAGCAGCTCTAATGCGAAAAAAATAAATAAATCATAAACTCAGGTTTCATTGCAATGAGGGCTCAAACAACTATTCACCAAGATTTTCTAATTTTTTTTTTTTTCCTCAGCAGAAATACTGCCTCTTGCTGTTCCTGCATCATTAGTGCCTCTCAGCCTCTCGCAAATACCTATATTACTATTTTAAGGGGTTAGTAAATATTTGGAGCTTCCACCTACATCTGGTGATGCTTCTAAGCTTTCTATACTCTCTGTAGCGCCTATATAAGAACCGTCTCTGATTGGGTGCTGCTATGTCTCCCCCTCTGCACAGATGAATGCCGTCTAATTAGCGAGCAAACATCAGGGTGAAGACCTGACACGTTAAGCTTAGCTCCAGGATAA